TTATATTGTTCATGCCAGTGTGGATGTTTTGTAACAATTTAACAAGCCATTTACAATAACATGAGCAGTCTTTTGAAAGGAAATTGCATTTGCATAAATTTTCTTTTTCAGATGCATCTAAAAACCTCCTGAAACCTTACCTGCCTCCGTACAGAACCGTTATTCTTTAAAAAATGATTGTTAACAAAGATGAATAAAAAGGAAACAATGAATCTAAAAAATACAGCAGTTACGACTTTTTTTTGACAAAGCTATACATATAAAAAAATCCAAGTCACAGCTATGCATAAGGAGCAGTGCATGTTGTTCCAAAAAGCCTTGGACCAGCATAATTCTCCTGCTTGACCTGAATAAATGATCTCTTGGGCTAGAAATACAACTCTGTGCATGCCTCACTCTTCAGTCCAGCCTCCACACTGCAGGTCCTCTGCCAAACTTCCATGACAAACCCAGAGATGGTCCAGATATTCAAAAACTGTCTGGACACAATACTGAGTAATGTGCTCTAGGGCATCCTGCTTGAGCAGAGAGGTTGGGCAAGATGACCACCACCAGTCCCTTCCAACCTTGCCCATTCTGTGATTCAGTATACAGGTACCATTTGTGATGAAGACTTCGGTCATGCATACAGTGAGCCCCAGCATCTTATTTGTGATAAAGACTTCAGTCATGCATACAGTGAGCCCCAGCATCTACAAAGTCCAAAATTTCTCTTCCAATTGGCATTTCCAAACAGTAACAACTCCAACTTGCATCTATGACGAAAGCCACAGCAAACCTGAGAGCTGGCTGCATTGCTTGGTGACACTCTTAATCCAATCAGCTGTGGCAATATCGCGCTCCCCCTGCAGATTCGAGGGAATAATAACTCAATTGTCGCAAGTCCTGGACGTGGTACATCACTATTGATCCATGAGGAAAATGCTCCTTGAAATGGAGACAGCTGTTCTCACTCACTAGACATGCAACCTCCTATAATTAACTAATTTCAGACCTCTTGGAATTAGCTGCTAGAAATGCCAACAGCTGAGGCAAGCAAGGAGGCCACTCTGATCAGCGACGGGGGCCGCGACAGCTATCCACCCGACGGGGAGCTAACGAAATAGATTTGAGGTAATTATTTCAGGGACTTGTAGCACCACTCGCATATTAACTCTTTTTAAGAATGCTTTGATGAATTCAATTGAAGTCAATTAATTACATTTCCAAGTCAGATGAATACAAAGCCGAGACGCCGGAGGAAGTGTGTGCTATTCCATCAGTGAATATGTAACAGAGATGATAGGATTTCAGTTCCCAGATTGTTTAGCTGGGTCTTTGAGCAATCAAGTGATGATGTCTGACTGAACATGCTATCGTCCCTGGAACAAATATGAAATCTCTGAAGCAAAATGCAAGTTAACCTAATTTGCTTATGACTATTTTCTTTTTTAACTAGCAAGCTTCAAACTGTTATTTTAAAGAGCTTTAAAGGTTTGAAATTTAAGTTAAGTGGATGTTACTTAGTGTCAAAGAAGAAAACTTTATGAGCCAAAAAATAGTACTCAATCAGAGGGAAAACCATTTTGAATTTACTTCTTGCCATAAAGTGAAGGGAAGCTTTAAATCAGTAACTATGAGTTTTTTGAATCCAATATAGAGACAAAATCTCAAACTAACCTTGAGTTATTGTATTTCAGATACTTCATTTCTGGGCCACAGCAGAGTGCCACTAGATGGAATACCAAAATTTACCTTTGTGTAGCAGTGTTAAATAGTACCATACTCAAGATGCAAAAATTGCAATTCAGTTGAAAAACACACATAAAAAAGTTGTGGGAGCATCTGAAATTATAAAAGACCACAAATATTAAAAAGCAAAAGGGAAATGCAGCCAAAAAAGGTAGAACAAATACAAAGTCTTGGCAGGAAAAAAAAGTACTGAAGAAAATACCTTCCATTGACAAAGCAGTCACCACCTTTATGACTCATTGATTTCAACATGATTCAAGATCACTTACCATCCTGAAAGTGGAAAATTCACATGGGAAGAATATTGCTACAAGATAAAACCGAGTAATACCCTGGAAAGTATCCGGAGTACAATGACATATTGACAAAAGGTACAATGGATAATCTAAAAGGTGTTTTTATATTCAGCTGATAAGAGTTAGTTATTCTGCTATCAAGATGAATTTATTATCAGCACTATAAAACATAAACAGAACACCAAAGCAACTGGAAAAGAATTCTCACCTGACCAAAATCCTAGGTAAATATCTCAAATCAAAGTGCTCCTCGGGCAAAGATGAGGCTGAAATCGTGATTGTTCATTTCTCACAAACTAGAATTTGTCAAGTTTCATAAATCTTCTTTATCTCCAGCAAGCCAAACATGACTACAACTACAGAAAGGTTTCCCAGAATGCTCTTTGGCAGCTGCCTCACGAGAGTGCTATGACTAAAAGAGTGCCAACTATTTGGCTATGAAATGTAAATGTGCTTGAAAAAGAGCAGCCAGAAACTATGGTTTTGCTTTTACATTGCAATATGATGTGACCCTTCGAATCTTTCGGATTACTTGGAGAAGAGAAAGGAGACATACTTAGAAAACGTATGTTTGGTGAATATTCATAAAGGCATTTTACACATCCCCAGAAGACAGGCACTTCCTTCCAGCTTGGCATGAATCAAAAACCATGCATGATTATACCAGCTACTGTGCAAAATTCCCTCAAACACAGTTAAACTGACAGCCCTAATGAGCAAGAGGTTCTGCACATGCAAACTTACTGATGTATAGTTTGGGCTCTGTGGGAAGACATTTGACACAAGACTGGAGGCACAACAGGTCTGCCCAAAAGACTTAACACCAGATTCAGCTCCAGATGCATACTTCTATATTTGAGTGTCTATTTGTAGGGTTTCCATGCAAGGTCCAGACTGAAGCTCTCACAACCAGTGGAGCTACTCAACTGACCATATGTAGCTCTTCCCTTACAGAGGGAATGAGGGAACTCTGTAGACTCCATTGCCTTTGTAATACTATTGGCCACATCCACCAGCTTCTGGCCATTCTCAGTGATCATTGTTCTTTCCTAGAGGCAACTCAGGAGACGGAGTGTTCCATTAATCACCCTGGTGGTGGCAATGCCTCACTCCTGGCCATCACATTTCCCTCAATCCCTGCCCCATCACACTACTGGCCCCACACATACCAAAGAGACACCACCAGCACAGTACAGTCATTCTCCACTGACAGCAAGCCCTGTGTTTGCCTTGGAGATGTTGAGCATGTGCAGCCTGGAGAGACTGTGCTGTGTGGTTCCCTCTCAAAACCAAACACAGACAGCCAGAGTAGCTGTAAAAGGGAGACAGCACTGCTGTAAACTCATCAAAGGGAGGGCTTTATCTGCCCATAAAACTTCAAGCTGTTTATTGCTTTGTATCTGGACAGAACTGTTGAAACACATGCTCCATCGGCACACAGTCATCTCAGTTTCACAACAAAGTGTTGCAGAACAGCTTGTGAAAACATATTGTTCAGTTAATTGCATTGGCATGCAGATGCCCTCATATTTATGAATTAACATCCACCATGGCAAAAGGATGTACAAGGAGACACAGGGACTGTGGCATGTGGCCCTGTGACTGCCAAGAGCTGGGATGCCTGATGGACTGCAGCCCACAAGCTCTGAGCTTTCTTTTCCTGCTTCTATGGGCTATAGGGCCTTGACTACTGCCAAAAAGGAGCCTTCAGTCTAAAAGGCTGCCTGTCTTCAGGATATTAGGGTGCTCAAAGCTTCAAGCAGTCCTTTGTAACCAACTGACTGCCACCAAGGCACCTGAAAAACACTCAATGGCCTTGAGGATCTCTGCATTAGTTCACTGCATGCGAAAATGAAGAAAATCTATGTCTGAAAAAGTCAATGGCAAAGAAAGAGCCCAAGAACAGTGGGACTTTGAAAGGTATCCAAGCATTTGTATTGGTTACAAGAGTGTTATACTTCATCAAAGCTATGCTACTCAGGAGGAGGTGAACGCAGGAAATGAAACACAAGATTTTATTTGACATGTTCTTACCGAGTATATTGATACGCTACACAAAATATTATGGAAGGAAATTACCTGTGTCAGCAGTAGTATAAATACCTGTCCAATAACCACTCAGACTTTCGATAATGGCCCTGTTAACACGGGGGCAATGAATATATGTTTGTCACTTAAATACATCAAGCAAGTCTATTAAAAAACCCCTGTGAGATTAAACCTGGCACCTATTTCAACACCGATCAGAGAGAAACAATAGGTTTGAAATCACATGCTTTGAGGGCAGAGAGTTTTCACAATACAGAATTTGCAGCTTCTTTCCATCTTGCATACTTAGGGAAACACAAAGCACTTGGCAGTGGCTTGAATCCCTGCATAATTCACAAAGTTTTGAGTATTTCCTGACATGACAAATTGTCCAGGCATCTTGCTGCTGTACACTTCTGCTGCTGTTGCCTCAAATCTTCCCCTCAAGGTTTTGAGGAGGAGACACTGGACAGAAATAGTGTGTGTTGGAAGGGGAGAGCTGTCATTCCCTCAAGGACCAAGACCTGTCCAGAGGAGTGTCACCACTACAGTTTACCAGCAGGTTGTTATAGTAGTCATATATCACTGACAGAGCTCTCTCCTGCAAATATTTCCTAAGACAGACAGCTCTTGCTGCATCTCGAACACTAGACCCTTCACACACTCTGCCTGTGTGGGCCCTCTCCTGTAGACCAAGGGGAAGGATGTGTTGAATCAACTGTCACAGTAATACTCTGTGTTTTACTAACCAACTTTGTATAGCTCAGTCTCTGTAGAGATATTTATATCTCCAGATTCAACCACACTGGCAGGATCCATTAAGCCTGACATCCCTCAGAAAATAACTTACTTTCTTAGAAAATAACTAGGCCATGAAATGGTCGAAGAACAAGCCAAAACTGATGCATGAGGAACACTGCCACAGACACAAGAAGCAGAGCCTACCTGTGGACACTTGCTCCACTGTCCCCAGTCAGATACTGCACACTCACTGGGACAGTACAAGCTACACTTCTGCATCGTATCTGGGATTTCAGACTGATTACACAGAGCATTGGGCACAGCCTCCCCTCCATGGTCCTCAGCAGTGCTCACACACCTACACAGAAAACAGACATTTTCATTAGAGTACCACAGATGCAATGGATATCAACAAGTCTGCTCAATTCCATACAGGACATTAGACATGACAACAGCTGCATGAAGCATGGCTGGTCAAAAAGCAGAATTAATATGTTCATGCAAATTGAAACCAGCTACATGCACGACAGGCTTTTGTGACTCACAGATTTTCTTTAATATTCTTTAAATAAACATCTCAAACTTCATACACAGGGATTTTAACTTTGATCGGCTGACAGAGGAGCAAAAGGAAAATGACAACCACCAAGAAGAAACCTTTGTGCTTCTGCTAGTAACATCTGAACATTTGGAAATAACTCAGCATTTCCCCGTGCCTGGGGAATGAATATTCAGTAATAATGAATGCCACTCTGGTGCGTGCAGTGCCATTACTTGGGGAAAATGTTAGCAAATCAGAATATGGAGGCTTTGCACCTCAGGGAGCTTTATGTATACATGGCATTTAGGTTGAAGAATTCTAATTTAAATATCATGCTGTCTTCCTGAAAAAAACCAAGGCTGCATCTCTGAGATGCTTTTCTTGTAAACCAGTGCGCATAAACACGTTTCTTTTCATTGGAGATACACTGGACTCAGCAACATACTCATTGCCAGATGGAGGGATATTGCAGATTTATGCAAGTACGTATCAGCTCTTTTTGATCTGGAGTACCTGTGCTTTTGTCTTCACGCACCTGACTTTCCTCGTTTGTATTCCTTCTCCACAGTGGAGGGAATTTTGTTCGCTGTTGATTTTGCACGGAGACCACGGTTCTACTACCCAAGAATACTGATTGCACTCGCTGTAGCATGGGACTGCCTCGTGCACCTGCCAGGAGAAAGAATCAAACTGTTCAGTTGAACCATCCAGGTTAGCATCTCTGCAGAAATGCCTCAGCCAAACCCAGGAAAAAGACGCGCTGAAAAATATCCTGACTTACGCTCCTCATGCTAAGGGTGTTGTAATGGCTTTAAGTTCATTTATTCATTATTGACTTGCCAAGGGATTTTTAAGTCTATAATAAACAGCAGTATGCATGCAGCTTCTTAGGAAGCAGGATAAATAACAGCTATTTCCTGCAGCCAGAAGAGGAACTCCATTACAGTTTCATTTGCTCTGCCTGCTCTCTCTATAATCTATCACGTCATTCACCAGGACCATATGTACCACATCCTTTCATGTTTCAGAAGGTACAAACTTCAAATCACCACTCATTTACCTTTGCTCCTAACGTGCCCTTGTAAGTAATTTACCATAAAAGAATGAAATTTCATGCCTCCTACAAATTTCATTTTATACATAAGAACTGTAAATGCTTTTTTTCCCTGCAAGTGACTTACCTTTAACATATCTCCTAATCAAACACGACAGTGTATTTACCTGAACTATGGTATCTATGTAGAGAGAAAAATACAGCCAAAAGCTTGATAAAAGGTGCTGGAGATTCAGGTTGTTACAAGCAGCACACTGAGATATAGCACTTCAGCAGATTTTTAGGTTTAAATAAATGAATGCATCAACAATTCTATTACAGTGATGAATAAAAGTTACTTACTTTGAATCTGGCTTGTCTGAAGAACCTGATTTGAAGACACAGAATTCCCTGTTGCTTTGCATGAAGCATAATGTGCTGCTCAGGAAAAATACAACACACCTAAAATTGCTTCTTCCATATACCAAAATCTAGGCCTTGCTGATGTGGAGCCATCTCACCATTAAAATAATTATAAATCAATAGCCTTCCACTCAACTACCCCCCAATAAAACAAATTCAGCTATGAATTTCATATTTTACAGCCTCATTTTAAAATAACAGATTAGGACTTTGCATGTTGTGGCCACAAGAATAAAGAAACCTTCTTTGCAACATTTTGGAGGTCAGAAGACAAGAAGATTGAGATACCAGTCTGAAAACAAAACTGGTGTCCCATTAAAAAACATCTGCATACCAAATGAAAGGAAGATAACTTGCAAAGGAAAACCCCTCAGGGACAGAGAATGTCAGAAATTAATTTTAACTATAGGTCTGCCTATATGTTAGGCACATGTTTTGCAGGGAAAGAAGAATAAGAGATGCTGAAAAGTGCAAAACAAATGAAGGAGAAAAATCAGGAAAGTGGGAAACCAAAGTCAGGACTGGTGAGGGCAAGGACAACATGAACTTGCAAGAACATCACATTTCACAGAGAAAAGGGAGGGGAAACAAAGGGGTCAAAGGCAACAGTATGATTAATACCATTTTCCTACCTATTATTAAGCACAAATTAGAGACCTGAATGGGGCTTTGGTCTAGTGGAAGGTGCCCAGGGTAGGGAGGGTTGGAACAAGATGATCTTAAACATTCATTTCAACTCAAACCACTCTATGGTTCTATGAGATCGTTTTTCATGGTCTGTGCACAAGTAACATGTGAGAACATTCACCAGGGGTGAATTGTTATCAGCGATGACGTTAGCGATAACGTTTGCTATGACTTTCTTGCCGAAGTGAGTGGGGTCACACCACAGTCTTGTGGAGGAGCCAGGGAATGTGTGGAGCTCCTGCTGGATCTGCACAAAGGTCCCTGAAAGATCACAGTGCACTTCAGATATGACCTAACAGTGTCTGCTCACTGAGGTGGTGGTACTCACCCTAATTCTAGGATATATAGGTGCCTGTGGATTGGACAAAGTGCATATACAGGCTAAGTTTCCCAGACTGAGCAAGCAGCACCACAAGTGGCTAATTAGCCGTGCCAGGCTCGTTAATATTAACTGGTGTACACAGGAGTGCACCCACCAATGTGCCAGACTCATTAATATTACCTGGTGTACACAGGAGTGCACCCACCAAGTGGGACCTGGGTGTGTGGGATGCAGCAGCATGCCAAGCATGTGGTGCAAAGCCACCATCCTGCCCCCCATCCTGTCACCTCCAGAGAGTCACTGACTCCTGCAGCCATACCCCTGCACAAGCCAGGGACAACTGCAATCCCTCTTCAGGCACTGTGAAGCCTTTGTGTTCCCCACAGACATCCATCCAGGAGATGGATGTAGAGACAGGGAGTATTTATTAGTTTCTCTGCTCCACAGTGGGAAGGAAAAACTACAGCTTTTCCTGTTGCCTGACAAAACATACTGCTGTCCACAGGAGACAATTAGTGAGAGGGAAATGTGTGCTTGAGGCATGATCTGTGTTTCCCTTGTCACAGAGGGGAGGCAAAACCAGAAAGAGCAAAAAGCCAAACTCAGACAAAACCAGCTGCCAGGGGCAGGGAATCTGCAGCCCGAGGAGGAGGCACCTCACTGTGTAGTGTCAAAGATAGTAAAACCTACTTATGAAGTTTATTAAGAGCTAGGTGACCTGTTCCTGCTCTTTAGACTTCTGGAGAGGAAGCTGAGGTTGGGAGCAGCTGAGAGGTGATGCTGTGGTGCTGCCTGCACCCCTCCACAGGCACAGTGGGGCATCGGGTGGGGGGAGGCCAGCACAAACTGCTTTGGGCATTTAAGATTCTTTTCCTTGCTCTAACTAATGACCCTTCCTCAGGGTTAGATGATACCGCTGTGAATCCTGCAGGTTCACAGCACTGCCAGCCTTTCAGTGCTTGCCCTGCTGCCTGCACCCAGGATGAGGCCAAGAACTTGAAAATCCCATCTTGTTGTCTCAGTGACCTCTAATTGCTCTATCTTAACATCTGTTAAACCTCTGACCCCTCCAAACAAGCAAAGCCCACCCCTGGATAGCAGTAGAGGTGTAATTCCAGGCATTTACCACAAATGCATTTGGATGGTCAAAACCTCCTGTACCTGATGTGATATCTGTGTAAGAAAACCAGTCAAGGTTGGGCAGGCATGGGATGCCACATGAACCAAAATCTGAGGTCAAAACAGAAATCCCATATGCAGCAACACAAAAACACATAACATGAAGCAGTTCTTCAAATGTGCTCTTTCCAGAGCAGGTGGGATCATAATAATAAAGCCATTACTGGAGCATTTGTATTCTGCTGTCAAGCTGGTCCAATGACACATGAAGTCCTGCCAGCTCTCCTCCAACAGTCAGACAGACAGACAGACATCCCACTCTGTGCCAGGAGGGATGGCATGCAGCACTGGCTGCACATCCCTGTGGTACCTCAATACTGTACTGCTGACACGTTCAGTACCCTCAGTTTGGTCAGGATTTCCAGGTTACACTCACCATCAAATGACCTGTTCTCTGAACTTACTGTGCTGACACCACAGCATGTCCCATCTTTGAACAATCTCTCCCTTCTGCCCTGCATCAGCACTGAGCAATGCCATCTCTGGCAGTACCTCTGGGACACTAGGGAGATGTAAATAACCACCTTGCATCTTTGGGAAGGACAGATTACTTCAGAACAAGTTACCACATGCACCAGTGGAAGCTGCTAAGCTTTTAAATGGGAGTCTTAAAGAGAAGCAAGATTTCCATGGGTGGAACTCTGTGGGTATGTGTTAAGGAAGCTGTGAATATAATTTGTGACTCCATCTTTGCATTTAAAAACCATAGTGATGTGGCATGTGGTCCTTTGCTCCACAGGACAATGTTTTCCTCATATTTCTCTCTCATGGCTTGTCAGAATTTCTTTTGAATCACCTCCAATTCCTCTTTTTTTGCATTTGGAAAAAAAATCCTACAATAAACCCTTAAAAGCCTTTCATTCCTACCTTTCACTAGGAGCTGTGATAGTTAAGGAGGTCAAACAGATGATGCTCTTGATTTTGTATTTTCAAAGGATTTTGGCTAAGCCTCACTGTTCTTTGGGCTCCACCAAGCAGAGGAACCTAGGATTACTTCTCACCTCCTGGGTCCATGGGAATACCCCTCTCCCAATTCTGAACAGAGGCTGTGATGCAGTGTGGTGTCCTCACTCCTCACCAACCCAAAGTGCCTGAGCCTGGAGCAGGTTGTGATGTGCTCCCATGCATCCCTGGCTGTAACACAGAGTGCATGCAGCCTTCAAATTAGGCACAGTCTAGGTCTCCCACATCACATTTGCCAGCCACTACCTCTGCTGCAGATACAGGAATTCTCTTCCCAAGCACAAAGACAACAGTTCCTTTGAAAATAATCTGCTTAATGCTCACCCTTCCCCAAACTTATACAAATCCACTATGACAGTGCATTTAGAAAACCCTTCAGACTGAGCCCCCCAACACATGTATGGAGCTTAGTACCACAATCCACCTCCTGAAGGATAGAAATGAAATTAATTCCATGTGATAGGCACAGGGGCCTGTTCTTCTGCGGGGCTTGGGGGGGAGAAAGATGCTGGAAGCTGCAGACACCTGACCTGTGTGGAGCTGCAGAGCTCAGTGCCCAGGGGACCAGCCTGGCTTCATCTCTTACTGCCTCAAGAAATAAACATAATTTTCCAGCACTGCTTTCCTCAATTTTTATTCATATTTACATGCTGGGTTTGGGGCTCAATGAACCAAGGGGTGAAATGATGCCTGACTGAAGTCAAGGGGACTTTTGCTGCTGACTTTCACAGGACCACTCTATCCCTCTTTGTAGTCACAATTAACCTGGACTACTACTTTAACACCTGAATTCTAAAATCAAATTAAAGGGAAGAAGGACAAAAGTTACTTAAGAGACAGACTGCTAAAGCTTGCCCTAATGAAAGAAGCCAGTTCCTATTCAGTCCAATGCAAACCCTGAGCCCTTGCTAATGTATATTGATGCCGACAGTTACTTCAACAAGGTATACAAATGTTAATGCATTTATTTTCTCTTTTAATAGCTGGTACTTGCATTTCAATGAAAAGTCCAAATATCTAACCACCAAGGAGCTTTGGTGTGATTTATAATGTTCTCTAACT